ATTTAATGTCATAAGATCTTTTTTCTTATTTTTTTCACAGGCAAAACGATGACGGTAGTCGTGATGATACATCCGAAGTGCATCCGGAAAGAACCGACCAACAAAGTTGTAGTACTTCTGATAAAAACAGTATGGAAATATCTTACGTAAGTTTTTTTAATGAATTTTAAATTACTGATATATGATTTGTTTAAAAAATAACAAGTAATTTTTTTCTATTTTGTTTATAGGAAACGAACTATGAGGAAACAGAACCGTTCCAGGTTTCAGGAAGAAGAGTTGTAGAAATAGGTTATTTTATGAAACTGCTTCAAGAAATCAGTAACCATAATTCCATGTTTAGTTGTAATTTAGGTTGATTTTTATATATATAGAAGATTAATGTTTCAGTATACTGGCACTTTAAAAGTATTTGTGTACCAAATAAACGTATTTTGTAGTTTTGGGAACCCACTTTCATTTGATACTAAAACAAAATTATACATATATAGGGTGATGGGTAATTAATGTCAGCTGCTCAGTACATTAGGCAAATATAAATGTACTGAACAGCTGATTTTTTTTTCGCGATTTCAAGTTTGTTCCCATAGAAAAAGTTGTTTGTTATCATGAGCACAATCACGTGTTTAAGTATTGTACACTAATTACCCATCACCCTATATAATAGGTAGGTACCTAAAAAATTTTACAAGAAAAAAAAAACTACTTGAAAAGTTATTTTTCACTGTGTAGTTGTTTTTTTAGGGGTTGTCATTAGATAATTTTTCCGCCATAAAAAACGGGTCACTCCAAGTAAGAGGCAAACTCTCAACATAACTAACAAAACGAGCCCAAACTCGGCACACCTAGCTCCACTCGTCTATTAGTTCCAGTAGCAGTCTTCGAAGTACACCTGCAGGTCACTCCATCAAGTCCGGAGGTAAGGTCTCAACATAACTAACAAAACGAGCCCAAACTCGGCACACTTAGCTCCACTCGTCTATTAGTTCCAGTAGCAGTCTTCGAAGTACACCTGCAGGTCACTCCATCAAGTCCGGAGGTAAGGTCTCAACATAACTAACAAAACGAGCCCAAACTCGGCACACCTAGCTCCACTCGTCTATTAGTTCCAGTAGCAGTCTTCGAAGTACACCTGCAGGTCACTCCATCAAGTCCGGAGGTAAGGTCTCAACATAACTAACAAAACGAGCCCAAACTCGGCACACCTAGCTCCACTCGTCTATTAGTTCCAGTAGCAGTCTTCGAAGTACACCTGCAGGTCACTCCATCAAGTCCGGAGGTAAGGTCTCAACATAACTAACAAAACGAGCCCAAACTCGGCACACCTAGCTCCACTCGTCTATTAGTTCCAGTAGCAGTCTTCGAAGTACACCTGCAGGTCACTCCATCAAGTCCGGAGGTAAGGTCTCAACATAACTAACAAAACGAGCCCAAACTCGGCACACCTAGCTCCACTCGTCTATTAGTTCCAGTAGCAGTCTTCGAAGTACACCTGCAGGTCACTCCATCAAGTCCGGAGGTAAGGTCTCAACATAACTAACAAAACGAGCCCAAACTCGGCACACCTAGCTCCACTCGTCTATTAGTTCCAGTAGCAGTCTTCGAAGTACACCTGCAGGTCACTCCATCAAGTCCGGAGGTAAGGTCTCAACATAACTAACAAAACGAGCCCAAACTCGGCACACCTGGCTCCACTCGTCTATTAGTTCCAGTAGCAGTCTTCGAAGTACACCTGCAGGTCACTCCATCAAGTCCGGAGGTAAGGTCTCAACATAACTAACAAAACGAGCCCAAACTCGGCACACCTAGCTCCACTCGTCTATTAGTTCCAGTAGCAGTCTTCGAAGTACACCTGCAGGTCACTCCATCAAGTCCGGAGGTAAGGTCTCAACATAACTAACAAAACGAGCTCAAACTAGAAAAAAAAAACTGTCCATCCATGAAATCAATGAAATTAGGTTAATGGTACCTATATGTACCATTATGATTACTAATGAAAATGGTTACAAAAGTATACATATAATATACTTTTGTAACCATTTCACGTTACAAACCAAATCAAAGTTAACTTAAAAAAAACATTGCAAAATTAAATAAAAATAACTCAAGTATCAAGTCGTGTCAGTTTACACATAATTTCGCCGCTTCGCGCATTTCGCTGTGTGTGTGTGACCTGCACGTGTAGTAGTAAGACTCAATACCTAAAATTGAAGCGCGTCAATTCGTAAACGCGTCCTTAAACATAATCATAATCATCTTTATTAGCATCATCATCACTTGTATTGAGCCCCGAAGGAGCGTAATGTAACGCAATTTTTGCAACATGACACCTATTAAATGTAAGCGTATTGCACCAACAAACCCAACCAATTACCTTCGTGTCGGCAAATAATCGATACAGAACAAATGACTCTTCTGTCCTCTAAAACGCTGCAGATGCTCATGTCCACAGCTTCCAATCTTCTTAATCCAGTAGCTGTATAACATCAGACGAATCACAAGTCTCCTCAATTTTGGAAATTTCATCTCGAGGTCAAATCCAAATTACGTTTTGTTATTTCAACCACTGTTACACTATACTAATAATTAGTCATCGAATAAAGCCACAGCAGTTGTTATTAACATATGTTTACGCCATATTTGCTGTCTTCATTGAAGGAATAATGACAGGTGCGAGTGTGATGTAGGTCCTTGTATTCAGGCAAGAAAGCCAAAAACGCATGGTTTTATTTATGCGCAGTTTGACAGACAAAGTATAAAACAATACAATATCTGGTGTAAGAGGATAATTGCCTCAAAAAAGGTCATGCGCAGCTTGTTCAAATATAAGATTAAAATGTATGTAAGACTGCAGAAAGTAGCAATCTCTAGTCACTTATGACAGAAGCATAAGTTTGAGTGTCTTCAAAGGTAATTTTATGGTGGTGTATGTTATGGTCATGGCATTAGATTTAGATGCCGTATATCGCGGGAGACAGATATTTGAGGCATGCACAAAACCGAGAAGTATGGCAGAAAAGGGGTGAGTGTTATATCTAGTAGTGGATGAACCTGGACTTACAAGATGATGATGATAATATACTCATCAAAAATAAATACTGACAAACATAAAAGGAACTGTTATTATAATTCACACTAATATTTTTTAACTTAAATATAAATTATAGGATTTTTGTAATTTATTGATCTACAGTTTATTAATATCCGCAGACATCATATCTCTGTCAGTTCTCACCGAGTTACCTCCAAGGACAGACTGGACTGCGACCGTCAACTTCACAACAGGGCAACAAGACGTCCAGTTCAAGAAGTTACTAATTTTCTTTGTTGTTGATTTGTTGAAAACGTTCCCTTATAATAAGTTCGTAAGTATGTTAAGTCATTTTTTAAATCTCTTGTACAGTAAATAAACATGTGCCTTGCAACATTTTAAGGTTTTCCCAAATTAGCATAAACCTTGACAGCCATAACTGAAATAAATTATTTGCGAATCACACAAATGTATTATTTACAACAGTCAACACACTCGGTCATAATTATCATCATCATCAACAGCCTATAGATGCCCACTGCTGAGCAAAGCCTCTTCTCACACGGAGAAGGTTAGAACATTAATCACCACGCTTGCTCAATGCGGGTTGGCGATTTCAAACTTATAATTAGAAATTATAAGTCCAGGTTTCCTCACGATGTTTTTCCTTCACCGTTTGTCAGTGGTGTCTAAATAATCTTAGAAAGTACATATAACTCGGAAAAAGTCACATTGGTACTTGCCGTTGGTAGGTTTCGAACCCGCACCCTCATGCATGAGAAGTGGGCGTCTTAAACCTCCGGGCCACCACGACATAATTATAATGAGATCTTAATAACCAAAAATAAATAATGACGAGAGCTAACTATAAATTCATGAACTTGCTTCAACGCCATTAGAGCCGATTCTAACGCTGTAAACCCTTAAACCTATTTCTAAGTCATGGAACATCACACCCGGTTCATCTACATTTCAGATGATGCAATCACGTTACTGGCTGCTCGGAATGGTGTACCTTCTGGACCCTGGTCTCTGTCACCTCCGAGCACGTTGGTCACCGCCTCTCTTCGCTGAACTACGCAAGGCTGCGCTCCAGGCTCTGGTCTGCGCGATACCCTTGTGTGACCCCAGTTGGGTTAGGGACTATGGTCTGATTAGAAGGTGTGTTAGATATTGCTAGCACATTTTACTTGTTTTTAGATTCCTATAATCTTACCACGCAATTAGCCAGTTACCCTCCAAATCGGATAGGACTATCAAGTTATGACGTTTAAAAAGTCAGTAAGTGAGGAGATCTATTTAAGTGGCGTGGATCTATGTGTGTGTTCTTTGTATTTTGTGAAGTGTCTGAATCTACTTCTTTCTTTCTCGTTTCAGAATAATGTGGTACATTGAATGGTACTCGGAAAATCCGTATGAAATTTCTGTGCTGTACTGGTGTGTGAGGTTGCTGCAGGTCGCAATCTATCACACTCGGAAACCAGAGCGAGATCGAGCCATTCAGGACCTTTTCGATACACATGGAATCGTTATAATTATTCGTAAGATGTTGCTACTGCCTTTGTGTTAAACGAAAATATTAGGAAGGTATATGCTATGCAATGAGAATTTCCATTTCTGACGTCCATTTCATAACCCTATTTCTGCATCTTGTGATTCAAGTGTAATTAGAAAATGACTGAGTCCCAAATGACTGTAACCGTAGGAGATATGTCGACCCCTGTTTCTTTCTGTAGTCTGCCACGCTGCAGATAAATTCGCTAAGAATTATGATACAGGATATTAAAGATATTACCTAGTCTACCTACGTACCAAAAATTATTTTCTTCTATGTAGATCTCTGCCAAACTCTCATGGAACAGAAGTTACCGCCAGTGGAGAGAAGTCAGGCAGTCCTCGCCCTGGCGCTGCGGCTGTTGACCAGTTCCGTACATATGAAGAGGAGTGTGACGTGCTGTGTCTACCCTAACATTAAGTGGCCTAATTCTGTCAACTCACTTGCGAGGAAGATGGTCGATGTAGTCTTGTATTCACTTGATAAGCACTTCATTGTTAGTGATAGGTGAGTTGGAAGTACTATAGAAGTAGGTACCAACTTAACCTACTGAAATATTTATTGGATTATCTAAGGCGGAAGACCTCTATTCAGTAGCGAATGTCTTTCGACTGATGATGATTATTATGTACCTACAATTGCATGTTAAGCCATTTAAACACTACTCATAAACAAGTAGGTACTTGTTAAGGATCCTAACGTATTACCTATCATGACTTCCTGGGTTTGTTTGAAAAGCTTTACATAATAAAACTTAACACGTAGTTCGGCCAAAGGCAAAACGACAATTACAGTTGAACATGTTTAAAGTGGCATATACTTAATTATGTACTGTGCCTTGTTTTGTTCAGCTTATAACTGTTAACCATCCTTCGTAGTGGATGTAGGTGCTTGCTAAATCTTTGCTAAACACACATTACGGACTGTGGGAAACCTGGAGATCTGATTTGTACTCTTGCGCCCGTAAATTCACAACCATATCGGAGTGGAATCTATCAATACGTAGTGCAAATTAGGTACTAAATTACGATACCAATCGTTTGTGACAAACAATAATGTGTATTATGTTTTCGGCTTAATCACGTAACTGTTTGACGAGAAACTCGATTAGTTTCAACAAGTCATGCTAGAGTCTCATATTCATGAGCGGCATTCCGAGACCCGCGACGTGGCGACTGTCGAGCTGCTACTCATGCTACATGCTTGGAACTTGTCGAGTTCCTCGTCAAACAATTATGTGAGTAAGCCGAAAACATATTAATTAATTGTAATATATCTCATGACAATCATGAGTACTACGTGCAATTGAGCAACTTTTTTCAGTTGATAATGCAGGTCAACTTGTCACGTTTCTATAAAGCTGTTAAGTGTTAACCTAAGGTTTAGGTTACCTAAACTACTAACTAGGTTAGGGAACCTAAGGTAAAGTACTTACCTACTTAAGGTCCTTAATAATATTGGTTACAGGTGGCTAGTATCCCTATTAAATTTCATTTGGGAAGCGATTATATGGAATCCGGCATACAGAGAAAGGTTTGTAGGCAACGATGGCATATACAAGTTACTGGACATTATTACGGTAAGTAAATTAGTGAAATTATGCTAATAGGTACCTACGATGCTGCTGCGCTAAGCGAGAGAAATTTTACGACCTTCTCAGTTCTCTAATTATAAGAATAACTTAGTGTTTTGATTTATGTTTCCATCACAAATAGTAGTTTATGCCAAGAATTTAATATCGAGCTCTGATTTCATTTAATGTGATTGTAGAGGTAGGGTGTAGGTTAATCGAACAGTGTTTGTTAAATGAGATATTGTTAAGCGGTTTGAGTTACACACTTTTTGTATCGTTTGTGTAGGTGATAATTTAAGTAGTTAATAATGTTGTTAGTAAGTTTTCTATGTCATATGAGAGTATTGATTGTGGAGACAGCGGTGGATTAAACACTCGTCAACCTTCTCGTAACAAACACGTTACGATATAACTTCATAAAACCCTCTTTACTTACAAAATTAAATCTTATTTTTAATAATTTGCATCAGACAGATACATATCATAAATCAAACACGTTTCACCCCGGTCATTTTAATAATGCTCGAGATACGCCCTCTATAGTTTATGCTACAAATTAACTAACTTGCACCATTATCTGAAATGAATCTGAATGGATTTTACAGTACAAGTCCGCACAACTATTCATTTGAAATACATTTAAGGAACTAAAGTGGTGAAGCACTTTCACAGACAATTTGATTTATGCGTAGACTAATATCAATTCTCAATATCTTGTAATTACGGGATGCAATCATGTTGTAGTCTGGACGAGGGGGCACTGGCGATTCGTTTAGTTCATACCAACGGACAGCACTATTAATATCGATGTGAAGGTGTCGCGTGCATTCACTAGGGAAGTCGTGACTTCCTACTTGGGCTATTCAATTGGAGTAAAACGCTGGTCGTTGGTGACTATTTCTTTTTGTATCTTTGGACGTGGTGCTCAACTGTGCGGATAACGTCACAGCCGTATGGTGCTGTACCTATAGAATATACAAAACCCCTAGAAGTTGTATATGGTATCGTTACCCTCTTATGTATACCTATAGTAAAGTAAGATGCTTTAGTTTTCATCCTACCCTGTCTTCCTACCTTGGTTCCTTCACTTCAAATTAGTGCACTCTTATCATTCATTGTCACAACAAATTTTGTCAAGACTTGATGAATGGGCGGTCGGCGTCATTACCATCAAGATGTTTGAGACTTAGATTAAATGACCGTTTGGTGTAAATTCTACAGTTTACACATTAAACAATTATCAGTTCAGACAGCCTTGTTGGCCAAGTGGTCGCAACTCGCAAGTGCCACTGCTGGGCAAGGGGTCTCGGGTGCGATTTCCGGGTCGCGCAAAGTACATACTACTGGGTTAGAAAAAAATCTCAGTAGTAACACGGAGTCTGGAATTGTGCCCAGTATATTGCAGTAGGCTCACTCTCTATAACACGGAACTCATAACATAAATAGTGAGAACTGGGTGTTAAATTGCACAGCGAAATTAAAAGCCGTGATGGATACCTCTACCTTATGTTATGCTTACTAGTTCTTCAAACAACAACTTTTCCTTATCCATTTTCGTCTTTAGTTCATCAATTCTATATTTGTGAAGCTATCGTAACTCTAATAGTTTGAGACCCACTGGCTTAAGTCCGTTGTTGTTGCCTACTGCGCAGAGGATGCGAGACAACCGTTGGAATGGACGGCGTGATACGTATCCATTTAAACTAATCTGACAGAATATATGCGTAACGGCTGGACAGCTTTGTTGTGATATGCAGGAAATTATTCAGTACATCTTTTTTATATTGATAATTTGCACATTCATTTGCAACGGTGAAATTCGATTCACAAAGTTTTACTTTACTTTTCGTTTTCCTACACATGAGACATCTTTGAAAACAATCATAGAACGATTTCCTTAATATCGAAGTAGACTACATACTAGAGGTAAGTCTAAACCCGCTGACCACATTTTGTTAGTTTCCCTTTCGTTCTAGATGACTCGACCAGCAGTTCAATGCATCGCACTAGCGGTGGTATGCGACATCGCTCGCGCTGGCGATGCAGTCGGCCAGCTGGTATCATGGCGAGCCAATCTTGGAGCCTCTAATGCGGTAACCCTCAAATCTGATCAGGAAATTAGAGTAGGCCACTGGCAAGTGAAGGGTTTAAGGCAATTAGTTTAGCATATGCCTGATTTTACTATTGTATTTGTGTAATTTATTGGATTTGGTTGGATAAGAGATTGCACTAACTGTAAACTAAACTACTAAGCTGCTTCATTTTGTGTCTATGTATTTCTTCATTCCACCACCAGTGTACCACTTGAATCAAGTTGCATTGCATATTGCGACTTGTCAACCGAATGCCACCGATGTTGTGGAGAACAAACTTTCGAAGGCTAACCTCGACCAAAAATTCAATTAATTGTTAAAGTGAAAATGGTCGTAACTCGTACCCAGTTCTATGAAATGATAGGATCAATGGTAATCGTGCAGCCAACGATTAGTTTTCAACGGACACTTGGTGAAAGCAGTGTTTTGCATAGATTACTATCCTCTTGTAACGCGTGTCACGGTAGATATGCACCCTATTGCAACAAATAGTCGGTACACATATAATAGGAAATTAATATAGGTAGATAATATAAAGAGATATCCAATTCCAATGACACGCCGAGATTGAGCATCCCAGGAAATAGTTTAGTGTTCGCCACCAACGACTTTAATTAAAGACACTTCGACCATTTTCTAACGACTGGCATAATGGTGACTGCTATCAATATATTTTCAGAACCCCAACGTAGTGCAACGCGGTGCAACTATCGCGAGCCTGCTGGCATCAGTGTTTCGTGAAGGATGTCGGTCTTTAGGAGTAAAACTTGACGGAAATGGAGTAATACAAGGTTGGTTACCTTGGGACTTACACACAAGACGACTATTCCTTACCCTTCTCCAGTTACTTCCAGACTGGTGCGTTGTAAGTTCGTTGCCGCTATTTGAGGATTGGGGGGATAGTGTGGCAGGATCAGATGGTGTTACACCAACTCTTTTTCATATTTAATGTTTTCAACAGAGTTGAATCACCCAATCATGTCGGAAGATGTTCGCAACGAGCTGGAGAACACAGATGAATATTATGCTGTCAATCATTCACCCCTTTTGTGCTTCGGTGCAGAGGACATGGCTGGTTCCTGCATGTCGAAGGTCAGTATTTGGGAACAATTTTGTAATTAATTCTTGAGTACTTTAATTCTGTACCTAGGTACTACAGAATTTTATAGGTGTTGGGGCTGACTGATCTTATTACGAACAGGAAACACCCGATGATCCACGATTACAATGCTGACGCGACCGTTGTGTTGCACTCGTGACAGAGCAAGATTAATTTGTAGGTAGGAAAAATAAGCCGAATACTGAAAGACTTTTAAGTTGTACTTAAATATCGTGCCATCTCTATCATTTTACTAAGAATTTGTAGTGATAGAATTATACGACTTAAGAGCTCATACACAAAACTGCGATGCGATGCGATGCGAATTCGCAACGCAGAAAATTACGATACGAATTGCTGCGATGCGATTTCGTGCGACCAGGCGTCTCCCATTGTGACCATTCCTTCGACGACCGTCAACCGGACTAAACATATTTTAAATTGAAATCTAGGTCGTGATATGAATCGTACAAAGAAATGTGCACTTTTGTTATTGCTTAGGAGATAAAGGAAAAATAAACAAAGAAGATTTTGGGAAGATAAGAATTTGATGCGCGATGCGAATCAATTCGCAAGTTCTTGCGATGCGTAGAGGGAGCTAGCATAGTTTTGCCATACGACGTCGCATCGCGTTTGGTGTACGAGCCCTACAGTTGAGTAGCGATTGAGTATTTGGACATCAGATCAGGAATCTACGGAACATCACTTAAAGAATAGTTTCATGCTGTATCCCACACAAACGACACATTGTACATCAGCCAGTTGCCCAGCTGCACCAGCTGTAGATTCGTACAGTCAGTAAGCACAAACTTTAATAATATTTAAAAATTGTCTTGTTTGCTTGTACAGGTATGGCATGGTTACCCTGACGTCTGTTTGTTGCAGGCCTTCGCTATATTGCATATGCTGTCTGAAGACCTGAACGACAGAGTGGAACTAGCTGATGAAGCATATAATTTGTACAAGAACATAAATTTGACTTTGGAAGACGAGGTGCCTTTTGCCTTCCTACTGAATTACTCTTGTAGATAATAGTGTATGACTGTGGGCTTTGCTAATCCTACTGCTTAAAATGAGTTAGAGCTCGAGTTACCTTGTAAACTATAACTAGTGAGCTAAGTAGTAAATACTGGTAACACCGATTACCTGGTTCGTCAGCTTTCTGCAGTCTGAACAGATTTGTCTTCTTATTTATTTTTTATATATTTATTCTTGTAAAATATGAGTAGGCACCTACAGATTAACATTGATTATAATAATAATTGCTGTCCATCCGCAGGTGATATTAGTACTTTGTTCTCATTACCTGACGCTAAAGTTAAATGAAGTATGGATGGAGACAAAGGTACAATGCGTGAAAATGTTCGAACCGGACTGTGTTGTTGTCGACGACTTCCTTAATGTTGGCAAGTAAGTTCCTTTTTATCTTCCGCCCCATCGTTAGCTTCTATCATAACATTATTAATCACCTCACTTGCTCAAGGCGGATTTATACCTACCTAATAATATACCTACTCTGAAATTATGATGAGTCCAGTTTCCCCTCACGAAATTCTCGTTCAATGTTGGTTTACTGTTGCTTCTCAGAGGCTGGGCCAAAGAAATAAAACGCCAGCAAGAAGACGTTATTGCAAAAGACCGAAAGAAGGTACCTGCCTACATAATAAGTCAATCCGTTTGTTATTCAAAAGAAGTTTAAAAGGAAATAATGTATTTTTGTTCCTTCTAACCTGGCCTTACTCAGGTGGAAGTCCGTGTCATTTATCCAGTTTTTCTAGCAGCATTTTATTTACGTTTTCAACAAAATCCTTTAGGTAACATACATGTTCTTTTTTGCTCTAAACAATTTAAACAATCCCAAGATACTATTAGGCAAGAGAGAACGCACGGGCCTGCGGACGGCGAGCATGGGTGACTCGCCGCCCGACCAAAACCAGACCCGAGCGTACGGCGTGTCGCGTTCCGCGCGCGCCTCAAGGAGCCATCAGACCACCACAGATGGGGCGTAACAGGGCTGATGCCGATACGGAGCCGCGGAAGACCTAACGGGTTGCCGGGGCTCCGGCTCGAAGTGCAGGTGTAGGAACGAGGTGGTTTTTAGTCAGTAAGAGTCTGACACTCCCTCCCGCCTCACCCGGGCGGGAGAAGTCATTGGATGATTCTCCCCCTCAAAAAAAAGGCAAGAGAGAACAGGGAAGGATTAAAAAATTTATACCGAAAGACGAAAACCAATATCAAATATTTTTCAAATCTCCAGGAAAGAGAAGAAGAGTGTTCTTTATACGCCTTTCTGGGTCGTATTCGTCTGAATATTGCGCTCGACGCGTTGCGCACTGTACGCTGTGTGGCCCGTTCGACGGATAATTCGCGCATAAGGCATGCTATGCTGCATGATGCCGTGTTCGCACACCATCGACGATCGCTATGCGTAAAGAATAATAACACCCCAACATTGTTGCGCACTTACAAGGCACCTCTTGATGATCAGGTAATGTGTGTAGAAGTTTGGTTAGATACATAGTGGCCACAGCTGGATATCATACCTACTATTTACGCATTCTTCAAAAATATTAGAATCAAACCAGCTAGATTGATATCGATTGTAGCGGGTTCCTTTAGACCTTTCGGCCCAGATTTTATTCAAATATGGTATAATTTTTCTTCTGCATGCTATAGGTACTATACATTACCCCATGGGTATAAATTAAAAATATCCAGGAAATATCACCATTCATCACCCACGTTAATCTCCTTTTTGTGGGCGAAGCTTAGCGGTCGTTAGGGCTATCTGTCCTCTAGAAGTCGCCCTAGAATCTCGTGAAATGCCCGGAACAATGATGTGGAACCAACTACAATGGAACCATTAACCGAAGTCACAGAGCGAGGATCTCCTTCTGGGGCCTGTACACCTGGTCATCTCCGTCCTCCAATTTGACCCTAGATAGTAAGGAGTCTGTAGCATTTAGGGTTTCTCACGATGTGTCCCATATATTTTAGCTTTCTCGTTTGAATTGTTCTCTACATCCTTCCTCCCTCTTCACATGTTGATATATTTTATAAATGCCCGTTCCTTCACTTTTGTTAGCACTGTCTGGCCTCATTGGGTCTTAATATTTTTAATGAAAACTGTATAAGTTTCTTGAAATACCTTCTATATCTCTTGCCACGAGGATCTGGCTTATACAGTGTGGTATTTTACGGTAATTTATTTTTTCATAGTTGTCGAACCCTGCAACCCTTGCTGAATGGTTAGATTGCCATGGCAAGCTTCACAATACATTATTATACATCGCTGCTGTAGCTTTTTCGTGTATTTGTGAAGAGGACTATTGAGTGCGATTTGGTCTAATCGTTCCATTACCTTCTTGTAATATAGCTACCTATGTTATACATTCTACATATTTTATCCCATAGCCATTTTCCCAATTACAGAACATTACCGGACAAAATGTAAAGGTAAACAGTATTCGTCCCAAGAACAGAAGGGATTCGCTGGACTTTGAAATGGAAGAAGAAATTTCAGAGGAAACGCAGACTAGTGAATAAGTTGTCGTTGTCCGTCTGTTAACCATTTATCGTTATTAGCACGTCACAATAGAAACCTTTCACCTTTCTCGGTTCTCCATCTTAGATATTACTATACAAGTCTACAAGATAACTCGCACTGTTGCGGCTGCATATAATTTAATCTTTCTTTTTTATTACATTTTTGGTCACCACACCCACTATCAGTAACTTTTGCTGTATAATTCTTTTAACCCGTCGTGTGTCTAAACGTGAATCCACGCGAGACACAATGTATTTGCTATTATGTCTCATATCGAAGCATTCAGGCGGTTAAAGTCAACGTCTTTATGATTCTCGGACTTTAAACGTATGCAAGGAAAAGGACAAGAAGGTAGGTATTCTAATTAATACATATTATTGTTGCAATTATGTTATGTTATATAGGAATGTGAAACTATGTTAAAAATGAAAAACCAATACATTTTTATTAGAAAGGTCTGTATTTTATTTCAAAGCCGTTAATGTCCATGTGTAAACATTCATTACAAATCTATGAAGCTAATGTATTACGAAACGCAACACAAACACGGTGTTTGCAACACTTACAAGCTTGTTACACTAGCATACAATGTCACGTAACATGTTACACAAAACATAATGATGGTGCATTCTACACAACTTTGTTAAGGAATGTCGTATTTTAATATGCAACATGTTGCCAGTTGTCACTTCGACAGACTGTCGCATAACACGCTACGTGACACGTTGCTATCTAGTGACATTGGCTTAATGATAACACAACTTATCTACTAGGTAGGTATAGAAACTGCTACAGGTAGAGTACAATCGATTTCTTTTTATTATTAAATGTATTACTACTTCTAAATGTCTATATTTCTCATAGGCTGGTCAATTTAAATCTTGTTTTGTGTTTTTACAACTGGTAGTATTTTCGAAAGAATATCTCAGATTTGACATCGACCAACTTCTCAGAAACAAGATGATTTAACTTAATAGTGATGATATATACATCTGCGTATGTATTATGCGTCTACGTAACTTGGTTTATGGTACTTAGAAACAAAATTTTATTTTATTAGATTGGTGAAATATTATGATGTTAAACAAAATGATAATTTACAAATGCAATAAATATGTTAAAACTGTAGTTTACACAATCTATGGTAGTGATGACGATAATTTAGTTTGGATTCACACAACTATTTCTATGAATAAATTAATTAGTACACAAAAACGTACAATTGTAATTCGCTTAAAACAGTGATTTAAAATATCTATGAAATGGCTAAAATATAATGATTTGTGATTTTTGTAGTTTAAAATGAATTTTTAGCATGATTTTGATTGATTAATTACTGATTTTCTCTATTTAAACAGGACAGTAACATTTATAGTGAATTGAATTTTCAAACTTATTATTATAGACATAAGAAGAATGATAGTAAATATTTCTACTCAATGAAATAATTTTGAGCCCTCTTTTGGTAAAGAAAGTTGCTAGGTGCATTAGCACCTAAGTAATGTATGTACTGTCGACTTACAATAACTTATTGCTATATTTTCGCATCTATTATTTCGATGTCTTTTATCTATTGTCAAACAAACCGAAGCTAGTCCTTGTCTTTAGATATTTGCTCAGTAGTAGTCAAAGACAGATTCAGTTGGCGATGGGAAAAGAGGAAATAAGACTTATTACGATATAGGCAGTTAAAACTGAAGATGGTTAGTCCAGTTACTGAGAACGATAAATTTATTTTAACTATTGTTCATCAACTTTGACTAGGTGCAGTGGCCAGAACAACGTAGAAACTCCTTTCAACTTTATTGTTTTGATATAAAATCCAAATTACAATGAAAAAATTGATAGGTTGGAGTAGGCTGACCTAATTTACCTGCTACCTTAATTTAAGTTATTTTTTTAAACACTGACAATGAAAACCCAAGGAAGAACCTGGTCTGAGACTACAAACTGACACGAGCACCGAGTCTATCGTGCAGAACCGAGCAGAAACGATAACATGTATCTTAGTGGATAGCCACTGAGCCACTGGTGCTTACAACCGACTTATATTTACTCTGCTACTGTTGATGTTAATATTAAATGCATTAATGACTATTGTTAAACGAATACTCAAACCATGTGAAGAATATAACATTTTAATGGCAATAAAGGACTTAGTAGGACTTTGTTCTGCGTTTAACGAGATCAAATCGAGACCGCGTTCGGCGCTCTGATTCGTTGGTACATTGAAGCCAGCCAATCAGGGCGTCGGACACGGTCTTGTTTTGATTTCGTTAAACGCAAATCAAAATAGTACTAGAACATTTTTATAAGCAGAATAGTGATTATATCTTTCGTTCACGTCGAGAGGTTTTTATGTTTTGATTTTTGACCAAGTTAAAGATTCTTAATAAATTTTCGTTTGAGTATTCGATTTATTCATACTGTAACTTATACATAACTGTAATTATTGTAAATGAAACTATGATACTAATAATATGCTTATGTTTAGTATAATTATGAAAACCACGTTAATTCATACTATGATAGAAATCGGCTTAACATAAGTACATGAATGAATTCTATTATTATATAGAATGTGTATTATTACATAATATGCTTTGTTAGTACATAAAGATTATTCGTGTTGCTTTTATTATGTTGGTTAAAATTTTAGAAAAGCCTGAGTTATGAGTTAGAACACTCGACTAAGTTATACATTTAAATACATTTAAAATGTATTTCTTAGCCAATAATGTATTTTATGTACTACAATATGTGTTTTAACATATAATAGCTATCCTGCTATATAAATAGATTATACGATATATAAAAATGTACTTTTGGTCAGCTATGTGCCTTAAATTAATAGCTTAATTATCCCT